GACTGCATAGGTTTTCTTTCTTAAATACAGGTAGTCCTCGACTTATGACCACAATTGAGCCCAAAATTTCCACTGTTAAGCCAGTGCCAGCATTCCAGAAAACCTCCACGCCAACAAATAACTCCGAGGCAGATATCGTCTCCAAGGTTCTTTTTATTGGAGTAGTAAACTGGCATATCTGGGGAATCCCGAATCTGAAAGTTCCAGGTTTCCTTTCAGTAAGTGAAAAATTACAAATCCACCCCCAGCACCCCTCATCGCATCACATGCCCCAATCACCATCCATCCCAGCTTGAGACATCCTCTCACCCAGGTGCAGAAATGACATGACCTTGACTTAGAAGAAGAATGCTATTGTGTCTAACCACATACACTCCATTTTCCCAGGCTCAAGAATGTGGCAGTGTGGAAGCGTTTGGTGCTAACATGGCTTCCAAAACTGACAGCCAGGCACTGAAGAGAATTTTCTTAGATTTTACGACCTTTCTTGTCACAGTTGTTAAGTGAATCACTGCAGTTGTTAAGTTAGTAACCCGATCGTTAACTGAATCTGGCTTTCCCATTGACTCTGTCTGTCAGAAGGTCGCAAAAGGGGATCATGTGACCCCGGGACACTACAACTGTCATAAATACGAGTCAGTTGCCATGCGTCTGAATTGTGATTGCATGACAAGTGTCCGGATTTTGATCAGGCGACCACGGGATTGCCGCAACCGTTGTAAGGATGGAACACGGTCATAACTTTGAAAGATCACTAAAGGAATGGCTGCAAGTCAAGAATAGAGCTTACAAAAACAGCAGTGGCACATTAACTGTGTGGGTGCCAGGCGAGGCTCCACTCAAAACAAAGGAAACCTTAGACTCCAACGTTTTAGAGAAAAGGATTTTTACTGAAAATTGAAGTGGTAGCATCAGAAGAATTCAAGATCTGAGACAACAGGCGTGAAAATCACATATAGAAAGTTATGCCAATGTTCCCACTCCCAATAACTCAAACTGGCCATCCAATCTGAGATGTGTACAATATCATGTGGGGCATCTTCAAGTGGTGTTTGAGACATCTGGCACACCAGGATGGGTGACCTTGGCCTGGACAGATGAAAGGCTACAGCTGCGCAGTAAACAAGGAAGCATAGTCAAGTAAGTTTTTCCAATCCCGTTTTTTTATGGCAGCCAGAAAGATAAGCAGAAGGAGGATTCTTGAAGGCTGACATTGGGCAAGAATAGGTTTGGAGGGCAAGTGTGCAAAAGTCTTTATAATCGTGCAACTGCCTATTCAAGGTTTGTTTTCATCTCTTTCTTATCTCAAGTAGGAAAAGGGGAAAAAAAAAACTGCCATTTTTTCCAAGACAGGGGAAAAATGAAATGGGATTCTTACCCATCAAGGACAGCTAAGCCACAAAAGGGTCCTTCACCTCCATGGCAGTCTCGTGATTCGATAAACTTGCCCTTTTCCGTACTGAATAATCTGACGGATCCATCGAAACATCCCACAAAGATCTGTGTGGAAAAAAAGAAAGCCACAGGTTTCATTAGGCCAGTTATGGATCTTCAGGGTTAACATTTCTTAGATAGCTCAGGCTAGGTCACAGGCTCAACCCTTGACATTTTGAATTAAAATGATTTCGGTAAGCTACAAGAGGAAGGAGGAAATACAGGCAGTCCTTGACTTACAACAGTTCATTTAGTGACCAAAGGGACAACAGCACTAAAAAAAAGTGATTTATGAGCATTTTTCACACTTATGACCATTGCAGCATCCTCATAGTTATGTGAGTCACTTAACCATTTTGCTCATTTAACAATTGTGGTGATTCACTTAACAGCTGTGGTGAGAAAGGTCATAAAATGGGGCAAAATTCACTTAACTGTCTGAGCAACACAACTTTTTGAGCTCCATTGTGGTTATAAGACGAGGACTACCTGCAATAATTTTAAGACCATTTTTTAAATGCAAAAAGGTAAAAAACATTTTACGACCTTTTTGGCCACAGTGTGAATCAGGGTAGTTGTTAAGATTAGTAATACGGTTGTTAAGTGAATCTGGCTTCCCGATTGACTTTGCTGGTTAGAAGGTTGCAAAAGGGATCATGTGACCCTGGGACACTGCGACCGTCATAAATATGAGTCAGTTGCCAAGCATCCGAATTTTGATCACGTAACCATAATGGTCGTATGTGTTAAAAAAAACCAAAAAACAATCATAAGACATTTTTTTTCACTTACTGTTGTAGCTTTGTACGGTCACTAAATGGACTGTGGTAAGTCAAGGACGAAGTGTAAATAATTAGTAAGCCTGTATCCCAAAGGTCTTCAAACTTGGCAAGTTTAAGACTTTGTGGATTTCAACTCCCAGAATTCCTGAGCTAACATGACTGGAGGAAGAATTCTGGCAGTTGAAGTCCACAAGTCTTAAAGCTGCCCAGTTTGAAGACCCCTGCAGTGTATCCCATCTGACTCTGACTCCGGGCAGCTCACAAGAGTCAAAGAAAGACATTACAATCAAATCAATTAAATACAACAATTGGCCAGAGCGATGAAGCAAAAGGCCCTCGTCCCTCGTCAAAAGTCTGGATGAAGCCGGCAAAGAACAAGCAGAATGGGCAGATCACATCACCTCCGATTCGTAGGAATCTCCCCAACACATGGCAGTGACAGCTTCTCGTCGACTGAGCGTTGTTTCTCCCATCCTATAATTCGTGGCCTGTTTCTTCTGCAGGTTGACCCCTAAAAGTGGAAAAAGGGACATCATATGACAGGAAAAAGAGTAAGAAAAAGAATAATTATAACAGCCTATTTTCCCCCCTCCCCTAAACCTCCCAGCAAGAGACAATAAAGGAGAATATTAGAGAGCAGCAGTTGCCTCAAACGACAATGTTGCTGGATGATGGATGAAGCTCCGGCTTTATTATTCTTTAAATAATAATGATGATGATGTTGGATGATGGACCAAGTGGTCCCTTCAGCTCCGGCTTTATTTTTATTTAAATAATGATGATGACAAGAACAACAACAATAATAATGGTGTGGGTACGTATATATGATTTATAATACATATAATATACTACTAAATTATATGCCCCATCTCACCTAGAGGTTTATAAAGTGTGTGTGTGTGTGTGTGTGTATACACACATACATATTCACATACATACACACACATATAATACTATATAATATACTATTAAATTATATGCCCCATCTCGCCTAGAGGTTTAGAAAGTGGCTTTTAGCTTCCCAGTCAATCAGTCAATATGGATTCAGCAAGTGAAGCTGAGATTTCACTTCCCTCCACTTTGCCCTCTCCATTCTCCGCTCGCCTATTTCCCTTCCCACTCTAGACATGCCCAGAGGCACCATGCACATTCAGAAGCAGCTGTTTCCCCCCACCACCCCCACAGGCTTCCCCGACCTTTCTTGGCTTCTTCCATCCCTAAACCCTCCATTCAAAATTCACCCCAACACGCGGCAAGTCCTCGTTACCTTTCAAAATCCCCGTTTCGGATCCCACCCACACGTGGCCGCCCCGCGCGGGAGACGCCATGCCTGTCTCGGCTCCGCAGGCTTTTGCGGATGTTTCCGGGCCGGAACGATTAAAGTAATGGACCGGATCGTGCGCCCGTGCTTTTGATTGGCTCACGCGCCGCTTGGGTGCGTCAATCAAAAACGTCCCCCTCGCGCTCCTTTCCCCCTCTTCAGACGGTCCTGCCACTTTTGGTACAGGGAAAAATAAAGCATTTGCAAGGATGATTAAAAGCGGTTCATTTGATTATTATTTTTTGAAGAGGTAGCTGGTTAATTTATCTACATTTTTTTTATCCTGCTTATATTATTTTTATAAATAAGTCAAGGTGGTGAACATACCCAATACTTCCTCCTTCTATTTTCCTCACAACAACCCTGTAGAGTTGGGCTGAGAGTGAAGGACTGGTCCAAAGTCCCCAGCCAGCTTTCATGCCTATGGCAGAACTACAACTATCTCCTTTTTTCTAGGCTAGTGCTTTAACTACTAAACCAAACTGCCGCTTAGAAATAAATCATGCTTATAAGTCATTAGAACTGGAACAATAAAGTCCCCTTCCTTGTTTTTTCATCCAGTCTTCTTCTTTTTCTCTCTTTTGTCTGTTCCTTAATGCCAAAGAAGGATTTAAAGTAAAGTAAGAAGATAATCTTGTTCTTTTTTTAAAAAAAAACCCACTGATCAGAAATAAGCATAGCAGAGATTTCAGCAGAGACTTACTTTATTTCACAAGCCCCCAACAACATGGCAACAAATTTTCTTTTGATTCCCTTACTTCCCAACATTTTAGATAGCTTGAATGAATCTACAATGGATGTCTTCACCCAAAAATATAGACCTCCAAAAACAGACAAGGAAAACTTTATAGATAAACAAAGGAATGGATAGAGACAATGAATAACAGACCACATAGACCACGTTTAAGGTTACATTTGATAAGGAAACACAGAAATCTGATTTCAGATTTTTGCCAAACCTTTTCAGAGGATTGGTATTGCTTTCAAGGAAATTTTAAAGTCTAGCAAAATCTGTCCTAGAATGGTGATGCGCTGTCCAATATGTTTTTCTTATGCTTAATCCCAACAGCCAAGATAAAAATAACAGCACAGTGGAGAGAACATCCAGCCTGTAATAAGATCGTGGTTCTGCAGGAATTAGGAACATCCTGTCAGGCCGAAGAGCAGGAAAAATCAAATCTCAGGTAAAAGAAAGAGAGAACAGGTCTTCAAAACATTGTATTGTTTTTGCTAGTTGAAATATCTTCTTTTAGCAGGCTAGGTAATCGCTTGACATTTGCAAAACCTGGCATCTTCAACTTTGTAACAGATGACTCCAAATCAGCCCCATTTCATTACAGGTAGCCCTTGACTTACCACCATAATTGAGCCCAACATTTGCTAAGTTGAGTTTTGCCTCATTGTACGAACTTCCTTGCCATGGTTAAGTGAATCATTGCAGCTGCTAGGTTAGTTAACACAGTTAAGTGAATCTAGCTTCCCACTGACTTGGCTTATCAGGTCATAAAAGGGAATCACTCGACTCCACTGGACATTGCAACTGTCATAAATACGAGTCAGTTGCCAAGTTTTCAAATTTTGATCAAGACCATGGGGATGCTACAATGGTCGTAAGCGTGATAAACAGTCACACGTCCCTTTGTTCAGTGCTGTTGTAACTTTGAACGGTCACTAAATGAACTAAAATAAGTAAAGGACTACTTGCATTTTAATAAATCTGACTAGAATACTAATGTGAAAAGGGAAGGAGGCATGTTAATTTTTGCCGTGGTTCATTCTCAAGAGTGAAAATTAGCTTCCCATCATTTCTGTCCAGCATAGCATCGATGCATGACTGAATGTGTTCAGCTGTGGCCTGCACACGCTTGCAACTTATCCTACGTCCCGCTTGAAGCAATGTAAACATTGCCAAATAAAAACGAATCCTGCAGGGAATCTAGTCCGAAGATTGTCTCAGCAGCTGAACTTGAGTGTGTGTGCACAAAGGGAAGTGTGGAGCCCTTCTCTTCCCCCCGGTAACCTTGCAGAAGGAACCTTCCACCTGTTTAGCCATCAGGACGAGGCAGGCTGCGCCACAGAGTGGCCAGGAAGGGTGGGCAACGCAGACTCAACTGCAGGTCCTCGCAGGTGTCTCCCTCTGGACACACAACTTCCACACACATTTCGTCGTCTCGGCCTCCTTCGGCGTTGCGGAAGGGCTCCGTCACATCAAAACGGACGCCGCAAGCTTCCCCGTTCAGCAACCGAGTGTCTCGTCTCTTGGACCGAGGTTGCAAGAGGGATTGGGGCCAAGATGGAGCAGAGAGGAGGAGGCGGAGAGGAAAAGGCCAGCTCTGATCTAGAGGCTGTTCCAAGTTCAGCAGGACGAAAGCTTTGGTGAGACGGACGCCTCTCTGGCAACGGAGATGGAGCATCCAGCAGAATTTGTGCTCTGGCCCTGTGAGAAGAAGAGAGGCAGTATGTTGTAAAACAGCACAAAGTCACTTAGATGCAATAAGCAGAGGAGAGGGGAGGGGAAGGGAGAGGGGAAAAGTGGAGGATAAAAAAAGAACGGAAGGGAAGGAAAACATGAAAGGAAAGGAATAGATAAAAGGAAAAGAAAAAAAAGAAAAAGGAAGGGAAACCAAGATAACAAGAAGGAAATGAAACAATAGCATATAAATAAAGTGTATATTATTAATATAGACTATAAAATATAAAGTAAAAAACAAACCACCCAGCTTTCCTTTCTCCCTGATCTAACTCACACCACCAGAATTTGGCTGCAAGTAACGGAAACCCAGTTTATCGTAATTTTAAAAACTGCAGATTTCTCCTAAAACACTGGACTTTGAACAGTTGTATAAACATGCTTCAATTTCCTCCACAATGTTTACAGCTTGCCCCGCCATTCCTAGCCGATTTTAACCCAGAAGCTTTAACTTCAGATATAGTTGGGACTACAACCACCATCGGTTTTATGTGGGACCAAAAATTCCATGGGAAATGGATTGCAAACCCCCTCCTCTATTTCGAGACACCCCACCTCCAGGAACTCCTGGGAATGGCCCCCGTACAGCTGTTGCCCAGCTGCCAATGGCTCCAGGGCAGAGTCTCCAAAGCCCATCCCCTGCTTGGGTCTGATTGGTTGCACAGCTGGCATCCAGTCGGAGCCTGGCACCCGTCCCACGGCCCTCCCGCTTACCTTGCCTGCCTTCGTTGACTTTCAGCGACGTCGTCATGCTCTTGAAGTCGCCAGTTGCCAGCATCGCTGTGTAGGCTTCGTAAGCGTGGGAGGTGCATCTCAGCATGCAGCTGCTAAATCTGGGCTGCCCCAGTAGCTGTCCCTCCCGCGTGGCCGCTGGGCTGTCATCGGCGGGGCAAAGCGCCCACGGCTGCCCGCCGGTCAGTCCCTCTGTCGCCAGTTCCTGACTTCCGACGTAGCCCAGAAGAGCCATGCCCAGGATCCAAAAGACCAGGATCAGCCCAGAATGACCCATTGCAAGTTTTCAGGACAGAAACCAGCATGTCGAGGAAGAGCGTGCAGGGCAGGCCGAGGAGCTGGATCTCACAGCCACAACAGGCCTGAACCTGTTGCCTCAGCCTGTGTGGATTCCTCGCCCCCCGCCAGCTGCTGGGAGGGTGCCCAGAGCGGCAGCTACCAACAGCTCTGGAATGCCAGACGCCAGACGGGGAATCGGAGACAGGGAGCGAGAAAGAAGACCTCTGGGGGCATGGCCAAGTTATATAAGATGTAGCTTGCAATGGACGTTTTCCATGTCCGGCAGAAGAACACAACAATCATCCCGCCATTTTGTGCAAGCCCGAGCAGGACATGGCTGCAGCCACAAGCGGCTACAACAGGGATGGTAGAGGCTACCTAACATCCAGGGCCTCTTTTCTTCACCAATCCATTGCATGACCGACCAATCACCCATTCCCAGGGATGAAAGCATGCTTGGGTAGTCTTCAGCTTACAAAGATTTGTCTAGGGATTGTTCAAATTTACAACACAGAAAACGACGTGACGTGCAATTGGTTTTTTTTTCCAGTTACAACCCTTGCAACATCCCCATCATCTCAGGACAAAAAAATTTAGATGCTTGGCATCTGGCAAGCTCTTACAACAGTTGCAGTGTGCTGGGGTCGACCTTCTGACCAGTCAAGGAGGAAGCGAGATTCGCTTGTTACTTAGGAACTACAACTATTCACTTAACAATGGTAGCGAGAGGTTGCAAAAATGGGACGCAACTCCCTTTTCTATGGAGATTCTCAAGTCATCTAGGTCAGGGTTGTCCAAAAGGTGCTTTTTCAAAGCAGAGCTGAAGCAGCTTCTTGGATGAGCAGAGTTGGAAGGGACCTTGGAGGTCATCTAGTCCAACCCGCTGCTTAGTCAGGAAACCCCATAGCATTTCAGACAAATGTGTTGTCCAATCTCTTCTTAAAACTTCCAGTGTTGGAGTATTCAGAACTTCTGGAGGCAAGCTGTTCCACGGGTTAATTGTTCTGTCAGGAAATTTCTCCTTAGTTCTAAGTTGCTTCTCTCCTTGATTAGTTTCCATCCATTGCTTCTTCTCCTGCCCTCAGGTGCTTTGGAGAATAGCTTGACTCCCTCTTCTTTGGGGCAGGCCCTCAAATATTGGGAGACCAATATAATGTCCCCGCTAGTCCTTTTCATTAAACTAGCCCGCCCCAGTTCCTGCAACCGTTCTTCGTATGTTTTAGCCTCCAGTCCCCTAATCATCTTTGTTGCTCTTCTCTGCACTCAACATCTTTTTTTACATCATGGTGACCAAAACTGAATGCAGTAAACATCTTCAAAGAAAAAGTAGAAAGTCCATTTGCCTCTTGAAAAAGCACCTTTGGGTCACTTACCGATTGCTTGAGTGCAAGATGGGCATTGCACAAATGTCAATTGTGCCTGGTTGACCTTCCCCTCAACCAAATGGCCTTTTCAGAGGGCTGTAGCTTATTACTAGGCCCATTGTCCCTTTCCCAAAACCAACAGGGTCATAGAACTCAACGTACCAAGCCACACGCTGAAAGGGTATTAAGAACAGAATGTATTTCAGTACAAATAAACTCAACCCTTTTTATCTTTCCGGCTTATCCTGAACAGTTAGGAAATGTTAAAAAAAATGAAATTGGAGGCTGTTGGAAACACTTAAAAGAGGAACTAAAAACAAGAAAAATGGTTGAGTTCTAGTCCCACCTTAGAAATGAAAGCCAGCTGGGTGACTTTGGGCCAATCACCAGAACACTGGGAGTCCCATTTCAGACGTTAATGCTGGCTGGATGACTTTCAACCAATCACTACGAAGGTGGCGAGTTCTAGTTCCACTTTGGCCAGCTGGGTGACTTTCGGCCAGTCCTTCTCAGCCCAGCCCAGCTCATGGGATTGTTGTGAGGAAGAGGATGGAGTATTAGATAACTGTTACCCAATTAGATGAAACACCATCTGAACAAACTCCTCCATCCATGTTTCACCAAGTTAATCAGGAAAACCAACTACAGCATTGCTTCCAACCAGTGTATTTATTAATAGCAGCAAATTTGTACACATTTAAAAGAAATTTACCATACACAGAACAGATTGCTAATACAATTTTTTTCTGATAGGTACCAAATCTTTTTTAACAAGTTGAAAAAAACCCTGTACATTTGTAGGTGTAATTTTCCCCCCCAAACTTCGAAACTTTCATCCAGTTTCTAAATATCAGCACTCTTCTATTTATAATAGTTTTTAAAAAGAGAACCCCAAAACACACTTTGTGCAGAATATTCTTTTTTTGGGAAAGCTAGTAAAAATATCTCCAGCCAGTCTTGAATTTCGGATGTTACAGGTATTGGAAGGCAGAAGGATACCACAAGGAGCCATTTCAGCTCTTCATTATTCCACCATTAAAGCCAGCAAAGACACACAAATTCTTGATTCAAGAACATGGTGACAGCTGCTGTATTCTTCTCAAACGTCTTCACAGTAAACATTTAAGCCTGCCTTTATGGAGACAAGACATAGATCGAAAATTGAGCTGCTGAAATAACCTGTAAGTTACAACACAAGTTGAATCTCAAGGGTGTGTTAATGAGAATGAATATGCTTTTTGGAGTACAAAGTGTGAACTGAGGAGGGGATGATACACCAGAAACTAAGAATAACAGAATTGGAAGGTAATTTGAAGATCTAACCCCCTGCTAAAACAGAAGAGCCTGTACCATTTCAAATAGTTGTCCAATCTCTTCTTAAAAACTCCAGTGTTGGGAGCACCCACAACTTCTGAAAGCAAATTGTTCCACTGATTGTTCTAATTGCCAGGAAAACGTCTCCTGACTTCCATGTTGTTTCTCTCCTTGATTAATTTCCATTCATTGCTTCTTGTCCTGCCTTCAGGTGCTTTGGAAAATAGGCTGACCCCCTCCTCTTTATGGCACCCCCTCAAATATTGGAACACTGCTATTATGTCACCCCTAGACTTTCTTTTCACAAGACACATTCCTGTCCATCTGAGAAAACTGAGATTACAATCCGTTTTTCTTGACAGCTTGTTTCCAGAAAAGCAACCTTACATTTGTACTATTATGTGTGGCGTTAGAAATGGACTCTTCTCACCTCTTCCAGTGGGAAATAGCAGATTTCAAGCTCTGTACGTCCAGCCAAAATAGCTTAGGAGCCATCTGCACAAAGAGAAAGAATGGCAGGACCAGTTTGCATTAAATTGGAGTTTAAGAAAACAAAAGGCAACATGTGAAAAAGGCAGGCAAGCCATAAACTCCCAGGCTGACGTAGAGGAAAGCTGGCTTTGGATAATCAGAGGGACCACTCAGTCATAGGAAATCAGACTGGGGCGGTAAAGATCTCATCATTGAGAGCCAGCTGCGGCAAAAACCACAAAAACATGGCTTAATACACCACTAACCACAATTGCACCAAGGCAAAAAATGAACCAGACTGTGATGTAGCAAGGGGTATGAATCCAGGTGGATTTGTCTCACCTTGCAAACTTGTCTTGTCTACAGATAATCCTTTATTTACAACCATACATTTACTGGCTGTTCAAAGTTACAGCAGCACTGAAAAAGTGACTTATGACCACTTCCCAGACTTATGACCCTTGTAGCGTCTCCATGGATCGCATGATCAAAGCTCAGAAACTTGGCAACTGACTCGTATTTATGACAGTTGCAATGTCCCGGGGCCACTTAACCACTGTGCCAAGAACGGTCATAAAAAGGGGGGAAAACTCGGTCTCACTTAGCAACAGAAATTTTGGACTCAACTTTGCTCATAAGTTGTGGCTTATCTGTGTGGGCAGGAAAATCCACTCACCTATGTTTTGGGCTGTCCCTTGCAAGTTATTTTCTGCAGGAGGGAAGAAAAAAAAAAGCAACGTGTGTACAACCAAACATCAACAATCCATTTTTTAAAAAGGCAATGGAAACCCACCACGAATCCATCTTATAAAATTCATGCCATTTGCAGTTTTTCAGGCAGTTCCTGACGTTTCATTTTGTTCAAAGTGAGCTAGTTGTATTCATCATCAAAACTGCAACGGGCAGGGATGAGAATGCTCATTTATGTGTAAAAAAGAAATTCTAAACAGAAATGTGTGCTTTGAGATTCTTTTTTTATTTAACTATTAAGAATTAAGCTACCCTGGCAGGAAAGCTTAAGAGTTGTCCTTGACATCTTGGGGTGTAACGTTTTAGTTTGAGCTGGACTTGATCCTTTCCATACATCACTTGTAAACCATAGTGAAAGACAGAGCGTATAAATACATATCCGATTTATTTTAAGCTAAACAAAGAATACCACTTCTAAAGATAGAAAAATAGCCCACACCTGAGGTCTATTCCAAGTGCCATTTTTCCCTAGCTTTGCTGTAAGCTGGTGGGAAATAAATTTAACCAATAAATTTTATTCAAGTTCCAACCTTCAGGTCTAGAAACCTGACCGAAGCTGGGATCTAGGTCTACCAGCTGTTCCTAGCTCATGGGCTGTATGAAAGCAGCCAGTGACTGGGTCAGATTTGACCCACAGGCCTTAAGTTTTGCTGACCCATAGATTAAAGCTATCTCATGGTGTTTCTTACCAGTTCATTCTCCACCTTTCAGGAACACTCTGTGACCGGCTTCTCCGTTCTGTAGGATAGAATGTTATCACGAACATGTAAATACACCAACCAGGTAAAATTCTGGCCGTTACTGATCAGTTAATAGAAGCCTGTTGTGTTGCCAGCAGAGCCTTCAAAAACTTAATTCAACACCAGCCTCAAAATCTGGAAATCCCCTCCCCAACAAGGAAATATCTAACAATTAAATTGGGGTTACCCTGCTAAACAAGGCTCTTTTCTAAAGAGATTCAAGAAAGCAGGAGGGGAGGGGGTAAATATTTGGGGCAGCAATGATCTCGCCCACTCCCAACCCGATTGGCCTAGTTCCCAACTGATGCTCAGATTCCGATTCTCAACAGCGAGATTCAGCCGAACGAGATTCCAAGTGTGAGCTCATCATATCAGCGGGAACCAGGCCAATTCAAAACAAAATTGTGAATTGTGTAGCTGGAAAACTTACCCTGGCCAACCAGGACAGACAATCTTCCTATTACTTCATTTCCTTCCTATGACTTCAGGTTCATTTCCTTTTGGAAGCTGTTGAAAGAAATAATCATGATATTGTAAAAGCAGGACTCTGAGGATTCTCAGAGGATTTCTTGGATAAAAAAAAAGGAGTTAAGAAGCCCTGGGTCCCGTCAGACAGCTCCTTCCGAAGCCAATTATCCTCTTTTCCATCTGCTAGCACCAGTGGGTTCAACCTTTGCAGATTCTGGCACCAGACAGACGGTAAGACGTGATAGTTTTTCATCACTGGGACAAGGAGTCGCTGGTTTTAATAGCCTCCCGTCTTTTAAATGTATTTTTTTTTAAACAGAATTCTTTATTGGGCAAGTGTTATTGGCCCACTGCTCATGCAACAGTGTTCCTCCCTCTCTCCACCAGCCTGGTCAAGCCACAAACTGGTATAAATGGTTAGCACAGCCTTCTCCAAACTGGCAGGGGCTATATACTGGTACTCGACTTGCAACAGTTTGCTTACTGACCATAGTTTAAAACAGCACTGTAAAAAGTGACTTACAACTTTGTTTTTCGCACTTAAAGATCATTGTGGTATCCCGAGTTATGTGATCAAAATTCAGGCGCTTGGCTACTGTCTCATATTTATGACGGCTGCAGCTTGCCACGATCCCCTTCTGCGACCTTCTGACCAGATCAGATTCATTTTATCGTCGTAACTAACTCAGCAACTGCAATGATTCAGTTAACAACAGTGCCAAGAAAGATCGTAATATCGGGGCAAGATTCACCTTAAGACACCTTTTGGGCTCGATTGTCACCGTAAGCGGAAGACAACCTGTTCAGGCTGAAAGGCCCGGCCAAAATCCACCATCAATTCTCTAAGAGTCTTAAATACGGACTCACCTTTCTTCCAGGTGGATCTGTCTGTAGGATAGAAAAAGAGAACCCAAATTAGTAAAAGAAAAAGCAACAAAAACATTTGTGCGATAGAAGCCTTGGCCGATCAGGGCTTTGGTAACTCAATTGCCATTTGACTTCAAAGTCGTCCAACAACAGAGGTCATCCTTTCGAGCACCAACAATCACACTACAGCATCTTGCACAACGGACCCACAACCTTCCAACTCACCTCTGACAGATCCATAACCTTTGGCCAGCATTTTTAGGTTCATGGCCGTGTGTGCCCTGAAAAAGAAGGAAAAAGAGACAATTCTAAGATTATACACTTCAGCTCCAAGCTTATTGCCTCAACAAACCAGGATTTTGTGTGTTCTCAGACAGTTAACTGAACATCACCCATCATCAGATATATGCTTGTCTGTTTTATGCACATCACGGAACACAGGAAGATTAAGCGTCTTAGGGAAGTAATCCAGATTTTTAAAGACTGCAAGCCAGCAGCCAACTGGAAAACACACACAGGCAGTCCTCGACTTACAAGCATCCATTTAGTGACCGTTCAAAGTTACGACGGCATTGAAAAAAATGTGACTTATGAACGTGTTTCACACTTACAACCATTACGCAACCCCATGGTCAAAAAGTTAAACGCCTGGCACCCGACTCATATTTATGACGGCTGCAGTGTCCAGGGGTCAATGTGATCCCCTTTTGCGACCTTCTGACAAGCAATGGGAAAGCCAGTTTCACTTAGCAACCAAGCTACTGATTTAACAGCCGCAATGATTCACTTTAACCACTGCAGCAAGAAAAGTCGTAAAACGGGACACGACTCGCTTAACAATTGTCTTCTTTAGCAACAGAGATTTGGGATTCAATTGAGGTCACAAGTCGAAGACTACCTGTAGCAGAGTAAAACCACTTTAAAGTGATTTTTAAACGAGAATTCTGCACGGTTTAGCTACTTACCATCTGTGCTGCTTGTAGCTGCAAAACAAACCCAAGGAAAAATGAGTTATTATTTTTCTCTGTCATCTAAACCTCTCAAAAAGCTTCTTTTTTAAATTAGACAATAGTTTTTAGAATCCAGTTGGTCAATTCTTTTTGGGGCGCTACTCAGACTGCTTTCGATTCTCCACTGAAGCATCAGAAAGAGAGAGTTCAGAATCTCTTCATTGTAGCTTTTCCTAATTTCAAACCAAGTAGTGGAGACGTAAATATCTGATTTACCAAATTCAAATGCAATATTCTTTTGGTTTCTATTTGTTTTTATTCTACATTTATTCCACTGCAGGCCCCATAGTTGCCTCTGGGATATTGAGATGGGCTACATATAAATTAAATATATTCCAGCACCCCAACTATTTCTTCCTTTTTTACTGATCAATTTAATTGGGATTTATTGATGACTGCAGCTAAGCCTGGCTTTTCCATTTGCAAATTTCATTAATCAATTCTTTCTCATGTCTTTAATAGCCGCCTTGTGCGAACAGTCAGCAATATAAATACAAATAAATATTGCAGCAAAGAGCAAAGTCGATGCTACCAGCAAAAGAGTTTTGGCTTTGTGGTACAATTTTGGCCCATTTTTTAAAATGAAATTTAAACACCAAGCACTTCTATATTTAAAAAAGCCTAACTCACCTGGTTTGCTGAGCTCCAGAATGCCATCGGCCCAACCTGTTGAGGAAAAGAAATAAAAATGAGTTATAAATATAATTTAACCTTGGTTGAGTCTAAGTTTTACTAAGCCACCCGAGGCTGGAGTCTTTTCAGAAATAAAAGCATTCCTCACAGCACAGTTCAGAACAGGTCTGTGTTAATTTCATCACCAAAAGACTCCGATTTTTTAAAAAAATAAATAAATTAAAAAGCCCCCTTGGACGTGGCTTGCAAATTTAAAATGAGCTTTTACAGCAACTTTTTTTAAAAAGAATTGCAAATAAATGCATTGCAAAAATTTTAAAGGACTTTGCAAAAGCAAAAATCTAAATTGAAGCCTCCCTTCCCAATCCTGCATTTCTTGCTCAATTGCCTGTTTTAAATTGCATTTCTCTTCCCTCCCCAGGGAAAAAAAATATCTTCATATATATGCACAATATATACATTTCATAAATGGTTCATATATGTTTTTTTAAAAAAGCCAGGCTCGCAAGCAATCGCGTGCAGCATTTTTATCTCTTCTTCCTTTTGCTTTGCAGAAATCCTATTTTGCTGCGTGCATTGATTTTTCCCACCCCGGAGCGGGATCTTTTTTTCGATCTAGTGGATCCCAATCGTGCCTCAGTTAGGAAGAGGGGATCCTTTGAAAGAGATCGGGCCAATTGGCCTGGGGCGGATCTTCCCGCAGGCCGTGGATGGCTACCGATTAAGAACACGTACCTCTGCCCGGATGCACCGCGGACGTCTCGAAAAAGAAATAAGAACCGGCCGCGAAAGAGTTAAATAGTCGGGAGCCGCGGGGCACGCTGGGAAATGCTCCTCCCACTCCAATAGAGAGCCGCGCTGAATTCTTTAGCCGCGCGAAGGGTTGTGGGTAGATGTAACTATAGAGATACGAAAAGGAAAGACGTGAATCTTCCAGTTGTTGGAGGATGAGGAGAAATTTCGAGATATTTTGCCATGGATTTCGTTCACACAACTCCCTGCTGCTGGAAGTGCTGAAAAAAAGAAGGCAACGGGCAGACTCTGAAATGTAAAACATTGAGCAATAACGGCCATCCTTGATATGAAATAGTAAAACTTTCATTTAGGCCCAAAAGTTGGATTTGCTTGCAAAGGTTTTTTCTACTATTTCGTATGTCTATGATACCAACGGGTGGTGGGGGAAATGCGCGCGAAGGGCCGGAGCGGTGACGCAAGCGCGATGGGAAGATTCGGCAAGGGCGCGCATGCGTGGTGGAAAAGATGGTAGCTGGATGGGCGTGGAGACTTTCTACTTCCTTGATTTGCAAGCCCTCCTTCCAAACGACGGTGTCCCTAAGCATGTACAGAGTGCTCCCAAACACCACGCATGAAAGCTTTTGACCATTTGGCGGATCTATCCGATTGCAAATACCCGTCTTTAAAGCTGTCACTGTTCCACCAATTCTTATTGCCGTATTTGTTTTATTGCACCAATTCTCTGTTTAATAAATTAGTAATGGTTGGTGAGAGTTCCCTCAGAAGGAAGGAATGCATAACTGAAACGCCATACATGAGATAGAGAAAAATAAGGGGTCTTCGCTGCTCTCTTGGTGGTTGTCTTGCAGACGTTTCATGACCCAACTAGGTAACATCATCAGTGCTCAAAAGGAGTGAGGTTTGTTGCAAATGTCCCTTCTAGCACTGATGATGTTACCTAGTTGGGTCATGAAATGTCTGTAAGAAAACAACAGAGCTCAGAGAGCACTAAAGTTCTGCTTTACACATTACTCCCCTTTGTGTAGTTGAGATTTGGTCATGCAAACATACAAAGAACCGTTATCCTTCATATTTCTTTTTTCTTCTTCCCCTTTTTCCTTTTATTCTCCTTTTTAAATTTCTTTTTCTTTCTCTGTGGTTTTAAAGGGGTAAAACTAGCATTCAATAAAATTATTTTGAGAAGAAAAAGAAAAAAAAAGACATTTTGTTTAAGACCAAAGCCCACGATTAGGGTTCAGTCAATCATCGGTGACCAACAATTCTAGTGTTATGTCGTGGATGGATCAACTTCAAGAATCCAAAACACCAAGGAAACAGGTTTCCATGTTTCTCCCCATTCCTTTTATTTTTGCCAACAGCCAGAATGGAAAACATTACCTAAAATACAGAATTCTGCCAGGGTCTTAAGAAATTTCAAATGCCATCCTCTAGAGATTTGTCCTCTGAGGTAGGTAGGTCTGAAGGCTTGGTGATCAGGTACTGCTCGACCATTCGGGGTAGAAAACCTTGTAGGAAATGAAAAAAATCTTGGAAAACTGCTTCCTCTTCAGGGTTGGGGATGAAATTTAGGCTGACTTGTGGGTCGTCCTCCCCAGAACCCCCCTCTCTGATACTGGCACAAACGGTGAATCCAAACAGGGGATCTACGGGCCTGGTTTCCCCCTCCTGTTGGGAAATCGCCTCCGATACTTTGCCTTCCAGCTCTAAGGGATCAGTGGATGTTTTGGGATCCGCTTCCGCGCTGAATTGTCGCCGGACACGGCGTCTTCCTAACCAGACACGGTGCCAAACGGTACAGCCCCAAGCCACACTTTCCACGTCGGTGAGGGAAAACTCCGACCGTGACCTCTTTGCGGGTGGAGAACCCAACGTGGCATCTTCTACGCCCAGGGATCGCTTGGAACCCACCGACAATTGTTCGGTTTTCGTTTCCAGCGGCTCCTCCTCTGGATCGCTGCCGAGGGATTCCCAATCGCCGCCGAATCCCTGCGGTTTCTCCGAGCAGCCGCACTTCAACACGTGCTGCAGGACAAACGCAATGCCTGCGCACGTTCTCTGGAACGAGAGCTGGGGCCAATCCCTGCTCGGGTGTAACTCTGGGTGGGACCCCAGAGATGGTGCGGCCGGCGTTAAGGGGAGGAAGATGACCAGCCGTTCCGCTGTTTGCGGGCTGCCGGGCTGGAAGAGACGAACCAGTCCCCAGGTTTTCCCCTTGCTGGATTTACGTTGGTATTGCAAGCTGCGGCAATATTTGGCGGCGTCCTGGCAGCTCCGCTGGAGACGCAGAGCCGTTTTTTCGTTGACGTTGGCCGCCACGTTGTGGCTCAGCTCAAAAGGATCCTGGAGGTTGATGGGGCCCGCCTTGAATTTCTGACCCGCGTCGGATAACAGGAAATCGGAGAGAGGAAGGGACCGGCCCTCACGGAGGGAGATGACCCCGCCAGCGAAATTGTAGCATTCGAAGACGCGGAAAAATTCAGCCAGAAGGCAGCCTGGAACGAAGGAGACACAGCAAGCTTTAGGAACGTGAGGTGTTTTTTTTTTTTTTTCCTAGCTAAGCTCTGATTTGGAGCTTGTTCTGTGCTAAACCAGGACGGGGTGACTCTAGCTTTCTAAGCAGAGCACGGCAGTTTAATTGTGGCTTGTTTAATCCCCTTAGGGCAGTGGTGGCTAACCTTTTTGGGCTCCTGTGCCAAAAATTGTGTGCGCGCTTGCACGCTCGCGGTCACAGTGCCAGCACCCAGAAGGCAATGCGCGCACCCCCACGCATGCGCGCACAACCCCCCCCCCCCCATCCCTCCACCCCCTTTCCTGCACTGCACCTCACAGCTGATTTTCGGCCGGTTTGAGGCCTTTTTCGGCCTTCCAAAGGCTTGAGGAAGGCTTCTGCAGGCCGAAAACTAGGCCTGTTTTGTCACTTGTGGTATTTTCGGAAAAACAGGAAGTGATGAAACGGGGCTAGTTTTCGGCCTGCAAAGCCTGCAGAAGCCTTCCTCAAGCCTCTGGGAGGCCGAAAAAGGCCCCAAACCGGCCGAAAATCAGTTGTGAGGCGCGTGCATGCGCAGTGAGGTAAATTTGTCTGCAGCTCATGTGCCGGCACAAATGGCTCTGCGTACTATCTGTGGCACGTGTGCCATAGGTTCACCATCATGCCCTTAGGGTTTGGTAGAGCAGACAGAAAGGATGCCAAGTAAAGTTGTGCAACCATATTCATGTCAGGCACCCTCAGAGCTAGTCCTTAACTTACAACCTTTTGTTTAGAGATTGTTTGAAGTTACAACGGCCCCGGGAAAAAGGGACTTAAGGCAGGGTTTCACACTTACAACCTGTTGTAGTATCAAAATTCATGTGATCAAAATTTGGTTGCTATGCAACCAACATGTGTTTACGATAGTTTCAAGTATCCCGGGAGATCCCATGATCTTCCCAGCTGGCTTCAAAAAAGCAAAGCCAAAAGAGGAAAGATGGATTTACTTAATGACTGGATCCATTCGCTTAACAACTGGGGCAAGAACGGTCATAAAATCATGGCATAACTCACTTAATTCCTGACTCGATTAGCAATGGAAATTACTAGCAGAAATTCTGTTCCCAATGGCGGTCATAACTTGAGGATTACCTTTATTTATTTATTAGTGGCATTTATACGTCTCCCATCTCACCGTGAAAAGAGATTCGGGGAGGGGGGTTAGAATCAAAAACACCCCTAAGTCACATTGTTCAAGGATTCGTCCTAACCCTCATTCGTTCAGTGTCGTCACAATTCAAAGAACTGCAGAATGAGCGGTCGCAAGTTGGGGACTGCCTGTATTTAAAAAATAAAATAAAAACAAAGCCCATGCAACTTAAAAGCTCTTGGTAGCAACTCACAACAACTTTCTGGGTTCCCGCTGGGTTGCAACGAAGCCGGATCCTTAGGAAAAGTGCAGTCCCAACTGTCCACCACAGTCAGTTCTCCATCATCTGAGAAGAGAGGGGAAAAAAAGATTGGAAAAGGATGAAAAAAATTTGTCGGCAACGTCTCAAATCTTCAAGGGTTACGGTTAGGGATGATTAGGGAGGGGACTGTAGACTAAAACATAGGAAGAACGGTTGTAGGAACTGGGTTTGGCTAGTCTGGTGAAGAGAAGGACCAGGGGAGAGAGGAGAGCAGCCTTCCAATATTTGAGGGGCTGCCCCAGAGAGGAGGAAGGGGTCAAGCTATTATCCAAAGCACCCGAAGGCCAGACAAGGAATAATGGATGGAAACTGATCCAGGAGAGATTCAACCTGGAAATAAGGAGAAACTTTCTGACAGGGAGAACAATCAACCCATGGAACAGAAGTTGCCCTCGGAAGTTGTGGGAGCATGATCACTTGAAGAGATTTGTCAGAAATGGTGTAGGGTCTCCCGCTTGGGCGGAGGGGTTGGACTAGATGACCTACGAGGTCCCTTCCAACTCTGATTATCTGTGAAGATTTTTGCCTGCCTTGGAGTTTTGATTCCGTTGGGTGTGTTAACTGGAACCCTGCCACGCGGAGAGATATTAACCTGTGAGATCCTTCAACCGGGCAACCGTCGGTAAGACGGAGGGGCTGCGCGTCTGTAGAAAGAAGAACACCAGCAATGTCAGGGCATAGTTGTTGAGGAGGGGGCCGCCACCAAAAAGATTTCCTGCAAAATAAAATAAAAATTTTTAAAAAATGAGGACGGGCGTTAGAAGGAAAAGGGGAGCAAGCCAACTTCACACCCCCTCAAGCCAACTTTACCCTTTTAAACGACTTTCCACATTGATTTTCTAAACGCCCCGGACTCCCGTTTTATATTTTAAATACCGTTTTAATCTTTTATTTCTACACCGTCCACAGAGTTCCTCTCTTGAGGGAGGTGGACGGTTTGCAAATCAGATCCAGAAAGTAAAATAAAATTAAAAGCTCACTAGGTTTTGCACGGCCGAGAACCTGGTTCTGATCGCTTCCTAACTCAGGGGTCGATCGACTCACAGGTAGTCCTTGACTTATAACAGTTTGTTTAATGACCGCTCAAAGTTGCGGTACTCAAAGTGACTTAGGATCGTTTTTCACACTTATGACCATTGGAGCATCCCCGTGGTCATGTGATCAACAGACGCTTGGCAACCGACTCACAGTTATGAGGGTTGCAGCGTTCCAGGGTCATGCGATCCCCTTTTGCGACCTTCTGACGAGCAAAGTCAATGGGATTCGCTTAACAACCGTGTTGCTAACTGAAGCACTGCGGTAATTCACTTTACAGTCGCAGTCAGAAAGGGTGTAAAATTCCTTCCTTCCTCCCATGCATTCATCCATGGATTCTTCCTTCCTTTCTTCCATACATTCTTCCTTCTATTTTTCTTTCTTTTCTTTCTCCCTACCTGATTCCTTTCTTTCCTTCCTTCCTTCCTTCCTTCCCTCCTTCCTTCCTTCCTTCCTTCCTTCCATACATCCTACCCTCCCTCCCTTCCTTCCATACATCCTTCCTTCCTTTCTTCCATACATCCTTCCTTCTCTTTTTCTTCCTTTTCTTCCTCCCTGCCTGATTCCTTCTCCCTCTTCCTTCCTTCTTTCCATACATCCTTCCCTCCCTCCCTTCCATGTATCCTTCCTTCCTTCCGTTGCTAACTTATGTTTTTTGTTTCATTCCTTCCTTCTCCCTTTCCCTCCCTCCCTTCCCATGCACCCATCCTTTCCACTTTACCTGCCAAACCTTGCTGCTTCGCCCAGTAGCGCACTGCGTACACCAAAGGCCTCACACGTTCATCCGCTTCTGTGCAAAACTGCAGGAAGCGTGTGTTGCACAGGGCCAGCCTGCCAAGGAAGAAGAAAACGGGGCTTAAGTCAGAATATACCATGCAGAACCCAACTGCTTCTTTACACTTGAAATATTCTCTTCAGTCCCTCCTAAATTCAAATTTCCCCCAATCTTAATCCAACTCCTTTGCCAATCTTGTCAACTTTAAGAGGTGTGGATTTCAACTCCCAGAATTCCCCAGACAGCATTCTGGAAATTGAAGTCCACACACCTCTTAAAATTCACAAGGCTGAAAAACACTGCATTAAATCCAACGGATTCTCTGCCGTTATCCAGAGCCTAAAAGTCTCAAAACTTTTGAGTTCCATATCGGATTGTCCTGGATTTATAACCCCAGTGGAGCCCAAAATTTTTGTGGCTAAGAGGGACAATTGTTGATTGAATTTTGGCCCGTTTTAGGACCAGCTGGGACTCAATGGGAGGCGGAGTATAGATGGGGGCAGGGCCAGTCAGAGTTGGGATTGGGCGGTTCTCCGAACTATTCAAAATTTCCGCTAACGGTTCTCCAGAACTGATCAGAACCGGCTGAATACCGCCTCTGATGACGACTCCTTTGTCATAAATATGAGTCAGTCATCAGGTGTCCGAATTTTGACCACGTGACCCTGGGGACATTGCAACGGTCATTTTGCAACGGTCCTAAGTGCGAAAAATGGTCACAAGTCAACTTTCCCAGTGCCGTTGTAACTTCGGCCACTCAATGAGTTATTTTAAATCGATTTATTATTAATTATTTTAATTTAATTTATGTTAATACCTGCAACCCGCTGCACAGACTGAGCTTGACAAGAGTACAAAAAACTTTTGCTACTGAGACATGAAATCCTTACTTGTTGTTTATGGAGATGTCCCCCCTTAAGCTGGACTCTTTGTGGCAAAACTTGACAACGGGCCGGCGGGCGGTGGAGACCACCTGTACGTGGTGGACGCCTGGCACGCACTTCTGCAGCACGGTGGCCACCAGGTCGAGGATTTCAGGCACGGTGGCTGTGACCAGGTCGATATCGGACAAGATCGAATCTTCAGAGCGAGATTCCACTTCCATGGCTTCTTGTTCCCCTGCCTGCAAAAATTGAGAGAGGATTAAATCCAGAAGTGTGTATAAACCTCCTAGGACCGCAATCGATCCCAACATTTCCATGCCTAAGCCCGGACTGTTCTGAAGTAGATTTTGCCCCATTTTTACAACCTTTCTGGCCACGGTCGTTAAGTGAATCTCTACGGTTTTTAAGCGAGTTACACGGTTGTGAAGTGAATCTGGCTTCCCCCGTTGACCTTGCTTGTCAGGAGATCACAAAAAAGGGATCCTGTGACCCCCGGGGACACTGCAATCGTCATAAATATGAGTCAGTTGCCAAGCGACTAAGTTTTAATCACGTGACCACAGCGGCGTGCGACGGTTGTAAGGGTGAGAAATGGCCTAACTCACTTTTTTCAGTGTCACGATATCTTCAAATTAATGGTTATAAATCAAGGACTCTCTCTATTCTACTCACCTCTACGGGGAGTAGTGTTCCTGAGCCTCAGCCACTTTAAGAGGGGTGGACTTTCAACTCCCAGAATTCTCCATCCCAGATGCTTAGCTGAGGGATTATGGGAGTTGAAGTCCACCCCTCTTAAATTGGCTGAGGTTGTGTTATAGCCTGCCAGCCCTTCCAGCAGCCGAATCAGAGGAGGAGGAGGAGGAAGTGTGAGAGTCAGAGCCAGCATCAAGACAACCTGGGAGCTCTGAGGGGAAAGAAGGAATGGAGCTGTCTCAGAGAGACGGAGACAGAGGCGGAGCCTGGGCCATCCATCAGCCCTCAAATGGAGAGTCAAGAGCCCCCAGGTCTGGAGGTGGCTGATGAGGAAGAGGAGGAACAGCCGGGTCCAGTGCCTGATGCACGGATGCGCAGAAGGCAGAGGAGAGGAGAGCAGTGGAAATCTATGAGCCGGTCCTTGGGACGGAAGAGCAAGGTCTGGAGGTGGCTGATGAGGAAGAGGAGGAACAGCCGGGTCCAGTGCCTGATGCACGGATGTGCAGAAGGCAGAGGAGAGGAGAGCAGTGGAAATCTATGAGCCGGTCTTTGGGACGGAAGAGCCAGGTCTGGAGGTGGCTGATGAGGAAGAGGAGGAACAGCCGGGTCCAGTGCCTGATGCACGGATGCGCAGAAGGCAGAGGAGAGGAGAGCAGTGGAAATCTATGAGCCGGTCTTTGGGACGGAAGAGCCACCGCTCTAACAAAGCCCCACTCTAGCTCTGGGGATAAAAGGCAGGGGGCGGAGATGAATAGATGTGGGAGACAGCTATTCACCTCCCTGCTGTACGGACTTGTTAGCCCGCTGTGAGAGAGTTTTTTCCAGGGCTGCTGGCGCTCCTAATAAAGGAAGCATTGATTGATTATAGAGGGTTTGTTGTGTTTTGGGAGCTGGGTCAGAACAGGTTGAGAAATAGGTGATGCAAAGCAGTCAGCAGTGATCTTGCCAGGTTTAATGAATGTTTCCTATCTCTAACAAGAGATACGGGACAAAACAAACATCTTCATTTACCAAGATAGTACCCAGCCTCTTCCTCACCGGTGGCTTATCGGTTGCCTTGGCAGAAGCCTGGAAATTTTTCGTCTTCTCCAAATCCAGGAACAAATCCAGATCACATCCAGAGACGCTGAAGCCATTCACGGAAGACCCAAAGGGAAGAATGACCGATTCTGTGTGTTTGGGGGGAAAAGACCAGTTGTAAAAATCAGAAACTTTCCAAATATCCAGTCGAAGCAGATAGCAAAAAGTGCACTTTACCTGGGAAGAATTCAGAAAACACCTCCTGGAACAGCTTGACGAGCAAGTCTCGAAGACGCTGTTCGCTCTCGGAAAATTCAAACAGTTGCACTATTAAAGCCATCTGGGCATCAACCTGCAGGGAAAAAAATGAATGAAGTTTTTTTTCTGTAACCAACTGTATTCAGAGGAATTCTTTACGACATTCCCTAAGTTCTACTCCCAGACTTCCCCAGCCAGCATGCTTTAAGATGGGAGGACTTCAATTCCCAGAATTTCCTAACCAGCATGTTTTAAGATGGGTGGACTTCAATTCCCACTTACATCATCTACTTGGCAGATACTTTGCGTCAATTTCTCTGGGCTCATCTGCTCCCGCCTAGCTGACCCTTGTTTCTTTGGCGGGGTGTATCTGAAATCCTTCTTCTCACGTGGCTTGACGCGTAATTTCTGCCCTCCTAGACTATGTTGTGGCTCTGCTAATACTTTCTGGAGTATCTCCTCGTCCTGCAGTTCCACAATTGCATAGACCCCCTGCAGAAAAAGAAAAAGAGAATTAAGCTTGCAAATTTTGCCAGTGACTAATTTTTTTAATCAATCAAAAGTGATATAGGAAGGGGGGGGGAGAGAGAAAGGGATCAGATTCACCTTATCTTTGTCCATCACGACATTGATCACCTTCCCGTAAGTTTCAAAATAGGTGCTCAGCTCCGTGGCTGTCGTCCCTTTCTGGAACCCACTGACAAAAATACTGCGGAGTTCCTGAGACTGGCGGACGCTACGAAGGTTTTCCAACCGCTGGTGTTTCTTCCCGTGCAGATGATCGTCCAGGCTGGGCTCTAAAATATCAAAGCAACCATCTTCAATTGCAGTTCATCTGTCTGGAATCCGCACTGCATATCGGACATTAATACTATCAAGAGAGTTCCAGAGATATTTCATGAGAAGAGTCCTCCACTCCTCCGTGCATAAGAGAATACCTTATGCCACCAGACTTGAAATGTTGGGCTTAGACAACTTAGAATTACGCCGCCTTCGGTCCGGCCTAAGCACAGTACATAAATTTATCTGCTATAATGTCCTACCTGTCTGTTTCAGCTTCATCCACAACAGTACACGAGCACACATTAGATACAAACTCAAGATAAACCACTCCAAACTCGATTGCAGGAAATACAACTTCAGCAACAGAGTGGTCAATGCCTGGAATGTGGTTTCTTCCCCAAACCCCCAAAACCTTAGACTGTCTACTGTTGACCTCACCCCATTCCTAAGAGGTCTGTAAAGAGCGTGCATAAGTGCACCAATGTGCCTACCCTATCGTTCCTGTCCTAACGTCCCCTTTTATTTGTACCCATTTCATGTAATCATAATCACGTTCTAATTATATCTGTTATCTCTAATACATACTTGACCAATAAAAAAATATAAAAATAAAAAAATGTTTTGGGGAAGGACTTTTGAAAAACCACAAGGAACGTGTTTTCCTGAGCAAAAGACAGTCGTTCCAACTTTGTTCAACCTTTTAACGCTTCTCAGAAAGTTAACCAAAAAACACCTCTGCGTCAGGTGAGGTTCTGCATTGGCTCACTGCATCTTAAGCTATTTTATATTATATTTACTTTAGAAAAGAATGTTTGTAGCTCAGGGTTGGTTCTCTCTGAGCATGGGTGCTGTTTCTGCAGACATTTCATTACCATAGTAGGTAACGTCATCAGTGCACCCAGTTCAGATAACTATTTCAGATAATATTTTACATCTCCAGGTCAGTTTAAGCCAGGAAAAAAGCAGGACCAAAAAAAATTATTGGAGCTGCAAAGCAGCATTAGGTGCCTTAGATAGTTTTTTTTTTTTTAAAGCTACCCCAAAAGCAGACCAGACTGAAGGCTGGAATTGAACCAGGAAACTGAAAAAGCAGCCAAGAAGAGACTCCTGACCACTTTTCCCCCACTTTATGGATGACAGGAAGACTTGGTTTCCAAACCCTATTTCTATAAATATATTAAAAATGCATGTTATTCACATTTATAGTTTTATACAATGTTACAAAGTCGATTTCTGTTAAATTTAACTGTTAATTAAATTAATGTTAATTAAAATTAAGAGTTAATTTTAACTGTTTTTGTATTTATAACTGCTTTTATATTTGTTTTTATTACAGTGTATGGGCAACCTATAACATTCCATAAATACATTTTACCACCTCTGAGTCCCTGGGAGGTGTGGAGCAATATATATTTAATACATAAATTATTGTTTCTTTCATTATTGTGGTTATATTGGGTATATAGCCACATCTTGGGGCAGCGACCATCATAATTTCAGCAAGGTTTTTGAGGGTAGGTGGAATCTCCATTTATCTTTAATTTATGCTT